GGGCCGGGGCTCTGCCTTCCACCCGCTGCCTCGCGGCGCTCTCATTCCCTTCCGAACCTCGTTTTCCTCCCGCGAGCGAGGGCAACCCTACTCCCCTCCGAGTTTAAGGCTCCAACAACGCTGGTCAGAGCAGCGGGCTAAACTATACCCACGCTGGTACACCGTTAAGGGTGGATAGTGATTTTTTTTAAATTGTGCAACGTTTTTTTTAATTGTGGGATCCTTTGTGTGACAAAGGATCAGGACCCTCTGCGCTGGATGCAGACTGAGGTGCCGCAGCCAGGCAGCTCGCGGGTACGACACGGCACAAGGGAAGACAACAGGCACGAGGGGAAGCCATCCGAACAGCCTTTAGCAATGTACCTAAGCAACCCCAGCCTCCCCTGCCCTCTGCTTTGTTCTGGGAGGGCGCGCAGCCCCGATGCCCTGTGTCTGAAGCACACCGAAGAGGCGTGACGGCTTCGATTCAAGGGAAAGTTGTGGTTGGAGGCTATCACGCTCTTTTCTTCTGCCTCCTTCCAACCTACCTAGCACCCGGGGGCTTCCAAACCAGAACAGCTCTCACGCGCACGGCTCTGGCCAAGGTAAGCCAGACTAGCTCTGATGTCCCAATCCCGTGATTACATCATTAAATGCTATAGAGCACCGTATAAGGATAAGGCAGCCAGTTTCAGAGGACGATAAAAAAAGCTTTGTTTTCAGCTGCTGGCAGGTCCTTACATCACCGAAGCTGCAAACTGCCACTGTCACCGTCATCATAAGGGACGGCCAGCGAGTGTCTGGTCTCCTCCAGACATGGCAGCACCAGCTAGCGGCTGCTGTTTCAGTCTCTCCACTCTTCCCACACACGTAAGCCAGTCAGATAATCTGACACAAAGGCAGCATTTGCGCGAGCCCTTCATTGCCACTGCAGCAATGCCTGTATCACGCGGCAGCAGAAAACTTGCACAGAGGACAACCGGCAGTCCATCGCGCAAGGAACCGGCAGGCATGGCGAGATGCGACCTGTTGCAATTGACAGAGAGGGTGATTGCGCACACAAGTGCGGAAGAAGGCGCTGTATACCATGCAAGGAGGGGGGAAGCATGTTCTTCTACCTCTTCCCACTGAGTAAGCAGCTAAGTAGGAAGCTGAAAAAGCAGTGACTGACTGCCAGAAGTGCCTTGGAAAGAAAAAGGCTAGTTTAGGTTTATCTAATGTCACATCAGCCATTTCCTAAGAAGGGAACAAATTTAATTAAGAACACAGACTCACTCAAGGAGATCAAGGTTACATTCGGCAAATGCAACTCAATAAGAGAACACGGTGCTGAGGGGTAGACAACACCTATACGAAGAGCAAGAAATACAAACGTCCTGGGCCTATCTGATAAAGACTCATTATTCAAGGTTGAAAGCGGGTGCCACCTGGTACACAGAATAGCCAGCACAGAAACACAGCTTGCTGCAGCGGGTGCAAGAGCAGCAAGAGGAGAGGGCACGGCAGCAAGAGAGGGGAAGACTCAACACGAGCGGCGTGAAAAGGGAAGGAGAAGCAGCTCTTGGACACCATGACAAGCGCAGAGTAGACACTGGTACAAGACAATTCCTACGCAGAGACTTCCCTGGCTGCAGCCTGCACCGCGAACGAACGCACAGGGAGGATCCTGGTTTCAGCAGAGACCCGTGATACAGGCGCAGTCCAGCACAGAGGTGCTGTGAAGCGGGCTGGCAGGCTACCAGGAGCGTCCGTGCTCCCTCTGCTGGGACGCTCCACGAGGCCCCCGGCACGCAGCCTGGCAGAGTCTGCGCCGGCCTTCCCTTCCGCAGACATTGCTGGCTGCGGCTGCGGAGAACTAGTTTTGCTGAGCCACAGTCACACGTCACCTGGTGGACAGTGCACCGCGGCATGTACGCCAAGACAGACCTTGTCATCTTTGTTTCGAGGATGTATCCATCCACTTTACAGATTAAGCAACACATGGTCAGGCACAGAAGAATACCACGTTCATCCCATCTCTGAACTTCTTCCATAGCTTTAACAGGGACTCACAAGCCAGGCAGGCCGGACAGACACTTGACTGAGATGGAAGGAGATGCTACAGTAGGGGTTAAAAAGTACGGCATGCAAAACCAATTAGAGCTCTCCTCAAACCGCCAAGTGGTGCTGATGGGAGGCAGGCATGTCACTGTGTGCTGCGCTATCTGTTTACTCTCAAGAGTTCCTGTAGAAATGACCCCAGCCCAACGAGACAAGAACGCGGCACTAACGCCAATGGTGCCTTGTTCCGGCAGCGATGTGCTGGCACACAGGAATTCCTCTACCAGCAACAAGGAACAGCACTGCTGTCACCAGCGACGGAGCAGAACGTTTATAACTAGTCTCCAAGCGCAGTTCAGGAGTGACGTGCCTGCAAGCAAACAGCTACAAACCAAGACAGCACCTTGCACAGACGCCAAGTCAAAAGGCTGCTGCTTCAGACAGGAGATTTTTTATCTTCACAGTCCCACAAACTCAGTCTGGACTCTGGCATCTTGTCCACACTGAAAATTACCCACTGTTGACAATGGCTGTCAGCAGCGCTGCGGCTGAACGAGTGCTGAAGAGTTCTCCAAAAGCAGGGCAGGGAAGGACAAACTGTTCAGCACTGGCTGGGGAAAGACAGCTAAAACTTGCCAGAGGGGCAGGGGCTTTTTGTTCTGTACAATTATAAGAATGACCATAACGGGCCTGATTAAAGGCTGATATAGCCCAGTAACTTATGTCCGAGAGCAATAAGTACCGAATGCTTAGGCAAAGAACACAAGAACGGGTAAGCAGAGTGTGATCCTTCCCCAGCTACAGCTGTCCAGCCTCCATTGGTCGGTGACTAGGAATTTATTGGGTCAAAGGCTGTACCTGGGCCGTGGTTTCTGATAAGCTGTGTACACCTCTATCAGGATTAAGGATCTGAAAAATTAGTTACACTCTCTACCAGCCCACCTTTTTACAGAGCTTACCTCACCACGACTGTAATAAACCCATTAGCTTTCAATGGATTGCACACAAAAAATTAAAATAAGTTCTGCCTCGAAGACACTAGTAGGCAGTAAGAGCCCCGATGGCCCATAACTCTGGCATGTGGAAAAAAGCACTTGTTCTACTGGCTTCCAAATCAGGTGGGACGGCTTCGCAGACAGAGTCACGACGGGCCCGTCTCCTCCCCTGCATGCTGCTGCAGTAAGGCAACATGGACAAAGGGCAATAACTTGGTACACCATCCTGTTACTGATGGAAAATAAAGATAGACAAAAAGACTCAAGCTGCTCTGTAAATACCATCTTATTTTAGTTATTCCAAATTAGTTCCTTGGCATCCACACTGCACAGCCTGCTCTCCAGCAAGCACATATCATTCTTCTGTTGAGCTCTTACATACCACAGCAGCTACAGGGAGTTCTGTATGCTGGCTTCCACTACACTTAGCAATGCAACAAGGACTGCAGGACCCGAGTGCATGAGTGGAAGGTGGGAGGGAGTTGCCCTTAAGGCCAAGCTTGACTAGCCAGCTGCAGAACCCGCTCCGGCTGCTTTCCTAGGAACAGCGATCAGTAACAGGAGTGGTTCCACTCCACTTCTAGGGTGGTCCCTTTTGGATCTGCTCAGAGCAGCTTTAACCTCTCAAACAGAAATCAACAGGGAGAAAAGACAGACAGAGCATCTCTGAATATTTCTAAGAAATGTCATGTCTTTGGAAGGCTTCGCAGATTCTCCTTGCCCCAAGAAATCCTTGCAGTCACTACTTGAAACCGGGCCAGGAGGTTGAACCTTCACAACTAGAAATGCTTCAGCAGTCAGAGAAGAGTGGAAGGGAAAGGGTTCCTATTAAAAGAACTTGACGCCTCGGCCATCATCCAGCGTGATAATTTCAGCTTTGTGCTCTTGCTGCAAGGCTTGCAGGGCACGAAGCAGCATAGACTCGTCCAAGCCATGGAACTCTAGGAAAGGACAAACAGAATCGCATCAGAAAACAAACTGGCTTACAGAAGTCTACGACTGGTGACACGGATGACACCTTTCAGACTCCAGTGCCACAACATGACAGAACCATCACTACATTGCTGCATCAGGAACAAAGCCTGAACGTTAACAGATAGAAAGAGGATAAATAGGTACAGCAGTCTCAAAAGCAGCAAAGAAGCTCTGCAGAAAAACAATGTACCATGCATCTCATGCCTGGTAAAGGTAAGGAGCTTGGCACCAGGGTGGGGGGGGTGGGGGAGTGGAAGGGGAACAAATTGCAAACAGTAGTAACGCAGGGAGATGTCAGCACTGAGCGGTAAAAAGCCTTCAGTGCTGCATTTCCCCATGGAGATCAGTGTGAGCTTGTATAAGCAATCTTAAAATACTTAACCTATAAAATTATGATCTGGCAATTGTTTATGCTTTCAAACAAAGTGTGCTGACAAAGGACGTTACCTTCATTCTCTGTATCATCTCCACTGGTTAATTCATACAGTGTGAATACAGAATTTGTCAAGCCATTCTTCAACACCTGGAAAAATAAAATCAATGTAGCAAATCTTACTTGTGTAACATCCTCAGCATAGATTTCTAGTACATCTTAGTGCAAATCAAACGGAGTGTGGACAATGTTCAACGAGCAAAAATACCCTGGAAATGTTTTACAGCATTGGAGTCAAGAAAAGACGTCTAATAAACTAAGACCGTTCCTTTCTCTGCCCCTCTATTCTTTACTCTCTGTCCATGCCTAAGAGCGTATTTTGCAATACGGACTTCTGTCATAAGAAGGCAACGCAACAATGCTGCTTTATCCTCACTATGGAACAACCAACTACAGCGACAAAAGAAGTCATGCCTACCTACCGCTCAAATTACATCTTACAGCAAATAAAAAGTTAACATCTCCACACATCTCTGCAACAGAGAGAAATGGAACCAGAAACATAAACATAGTGAGAAAGCAAGACACCAAAAATCACACTCATCTTTTTCACAAATCACAGCCAATACCAGCTGTCCTCCCAGGCACAGGAAGAGGGCCAGGTCTGCAGAACGAGAGAGTTTCTACATCCTCACCCACTGATAGATGAGCTTTCCCCATTCTTCTGGTCTCTTCCACATGATCAGGAAGCTGGATTTGTTCTTATCTAACCATTCCAGGTTCCCTAGAATCAACAGAGAAAAAGGTATTTAATCAGCGCACAAGGCTAGAAGAACAATCAGGACTGCAGATTTCATAAGGCGCACTGGGTGCTAGGCCTCCAGGCAGCTTCGGGCACCTGCCTCACTGTTCCACGGCTCTTGCTGACTTCCTAAATATCTCTGCATTTACACAAATTTCTCTTTCCAAAACCCTCTTCCTCCTGCAACTCGCAATGCAGCAGTTTGAATGCTGCACACGGGCTGACAGCACAGACACCCGCTGCAGGGGACGGACGCCCACTGCAGGAGGATGGACGGACGTCTGCCGTGGGGACGGACACTGTATTCTCAGCGTGGGGGAAGGACATCTGTGGTGGGGCATGGACTGCGGGGGGACGGACACCCGCTGTAGCACAGGCGCTGTATGCCTGCTGTGGGGCACGGAGGCCTACCATGGGGTACAGACTGTGGGGGAACGGACACTGTACTCCCGCTGTGGGGCATGCACGCTGCACGCCCACTGTGGGGCACAGGCACCCGCTGTGGGTCATGGACCCCTGCTGCAGGGCTGGGACAACCGCCCTGGGGCGCGGAGGCCACACGCCGCCACGGGGCAGGGACACGCACCTTGCTTGCGGAGCTCCTCCAGCACCACCTGCACGGCCTCCAGCGGGAGCTTCCCTGCGCCAGCGTTAAGGACTCGTGCCGCAGGCC